TTCAAAAACCAGTGTAGACAAACACAGAAGAAGAGTATCCCGGATAAGAGAAGAGAGTGGATGCTGAGTTCTTGTTATCGTTGGTATTTGAGAACAGATTTATTCTCACGTTCTTTAAACACAATAACATTTCTATTAATTGTCCACTGAATTATGTGATTTGTAGAGCACCGTCCGTTTTCTTCCACGTGCTACATTTTCAAGTGTAGCTTGATGCTAATTGTATTTCTAATTATATTTTAGGATGTAGCCTATTCTTGTAAGCATTATAGATAGTTTGTTTCTGGTGTAGAACCTTGTTTATCTTAATTTAATGCTGCATATTGAGCAGCGGATGATGTTAAATCCATTTACGAGATACATATCTGAGGAAAAATGCATTGTTGGTCGGCGCCACCTAGCATGCAGGTGTGAATTAGCAGAAGGCGAACAATCGTTTCGCATTCGGTGTGAAAGCACCGCTCATCTGCGATTGGCCTCGCTTTTTCGCATCACGCTCAGTGTGGAAAGGCCTTTAGTCACAGTTATTGTTTATTGAACTTAATGTTGTCTTGTCATGGGAAAAAAGCTCATCAACAAACATTTTTCGCCATAGTTTTCATTAACAAAATTAACACAATTTCATAGCCACTAGGTAAGCCATTTTGACCACATTTTCTCTAAAAGAACCATTCAGTTAGATGAGGCACATAACTTTTTGATGCATTTCCAAACTTGAAACAGGTATGTGATGCAATTCTTTCTATTTTCCTCTGTGCAATCATTACTGGCATTATTCCCGGCAGTGGCTCTCAAAGGCGCTGCTTTCATAACAAAAAAGCAGGTGTTGTGTAAGCGTGACCTCAGCACCTGAGCGGTGCATCTGTATCCGAACATCTGGGTGCACATAGACACACTTTGCCGATGTAAGCGAGATGGGACGGACAGCTCACAGCTGCAAGGTCAGACGACCTTCGGCTTCTCTCGTTGATGTTCGGGGGCAGCTTCCTGCAGGGAATGCCTGTCATGTTGGTGGGCCGCTGTGGGCCCTGACAAACATGCCCTAGCTGTACCCTGACTGAGAGGAGCCATATGGTGACAGAGGCAGAACGAACATGTCCCGTGACCATGATCCCGTACCCTGATCACTACACCACAGGTCTGGGCTCAGACCTTCCCAGCAGTCACATGTTCTAAACCCCCAGCCTCATTAGTGCTGGAAGAGGTACCGTAACCTCTGTTCGGGACAGGAGAGTGACCAAGCATGCAACGTGCCTCAGCGTGCCGGCGAAGAAAAGAGTGCAAAAAGGGTTCGCCTGATTGATTTACAGCCCCAACTTTATTACAGGGGAGAATATGATGTAAAACACCACGACAAATCTAAGAGCAGCCTGATTAAGGTCGACATGTGCCGTCCTTACAAGCGGGAAATTTGGAAATAATGCGACAGTAATCCAGGCAGCCTGATGAAGATGAGCATGGCAGAAACCCAACTCTCTGGCGACGAGCAATTACACACTCCTTCTTAGGCACATCTTTTATATATGGAAAGTGCAACTCAAACAGAATGAGGGCTGTTCGAAGGACAAGATAAAGGGATGCTGGGAAGAGAGCCGTCATACATCAAAGATGGAACGATATGCGCACTTTGACCTTGCTGCATTAACTTCCAAATGAAATCTTAAGGCCTTGTTGCATTTCGTAAGAACAGCGTAACTTTCACTTAGCTGACTGCAGAGCATCCAATAGCCTTTCTGTTGTGACCCTGTTTTCTTGGCATGTTGTCCCTGTTGGACCAGGTGGCAAGTATTAAAACATACTATTGCTATTTGCGTCTTGTCCTACCAAGTCGAACCAAATGATTTATGCTGTGAACACAGCACACTGACCCATAGGACTAAATCAAGAGAAGTGATTATCTGATGTGGACAAGAAATCCCCACCCAATTGACTCGATCAAATTAGGTTTGATCAGAGTAGATTAACTAAAATGAAGGAGTAATGGGAAATGTGAAAGAGGTGTTTGGCATCTAAACTTCACTTGCAAGAAGCTCATTTCTGTTTGAGCAGCTGTTCGGGAAAGAAACAAAAAGTGGCAATTATTTAACCAAAATCATATGAACAAGAGTGCTGATATTCAGATCAACAGAATGATTTGGAATGGGATATTGCTTTTATCCAAGAGTTCAAAAAACAATAAGTCATATTCATTAACTTACATTTTAGACAATACTACCAGTTACATCATTTATTTTTCGCAGCCAAAGAAAATAGTTTAAAACAAAGCCAGGCCAGTATCAACCAACAAGTGTCTCTCACGTGTCCTAACAAGACACTTAATCAGAGTTTTTGTCCTAACCATGCGCGACAGTGATACATGACGAGCAGCGGGGTGTTTTGCATAACACTGAAATGGTTTAATTTGACTTTGTTCATAATTGCATAAGACTTTAACAACCATAATGAAAGTGACAATGGATAATTCATAAATATACAAAAAATATTTAAAGGAAACAAGAATGTTCAAATTGTGAACTTATTGGTGTAGTATGGGATGGATTGTGAATGATTTTGTTGCATCTTATAGTCTAGTCAAATTGTTTGTCAAATTCATAATTTTGAGTACATTAGGGTTGGGCTGATAGATGATACCATCGTCCATCGCCAGTGGCTGACAGACATCACAATGTTGAGCCGGCATCAAGATCATCCTCCCCCCGAGGTGGTACACCTCACGACAGTTGTTGCAATCATTGCAATTCATTTGAACTTCGTGTCAGTACATCATATATAGGACGAAGCAACAGTTTACTGTCGGGGATTTGCTCTGGTGCACCACGGCACATCCAATGTAGACAGCATCACTCATAAACGGCAATTTATGATTTTCTGCCGGTGGGTGCTCAACACATTTTCACCACTGTTTCCACGACTAAATAATAACTGGGATAAGTTATCATACACATACGCAACAAATTTTATATTTTCAAATATTTAATTCTCATTACTCAGTAATTAATTATACTGGGTGTTAGTTTTTTATTTATTTTTTCTTCTCTAGAGTATACTCCGTTGGATGGTGCGTTTGATAAATTTACTACACAAAATGTATCTTGCGAAATGTAAAACGCACAGACTGCAAATACATTTAGTAACCAAATAATACACACATTCTTTCTATGAGGGTTGTGTTTCACTAAATAAAATGATTTAATAAATACCTGTTTACAAAAAGCATTTATTTTCACGTACACAGGAAAAAGTTTGAGGGCGCACACGTAATATCTGAGAGAGCTCAGGGCCATGATCATTATATGGGAGAGCAAGCCTGCTGCAAGCCGAGAGATTCGTGCTGGCACCCTCTCATATTACAATAATGCACTCTTGACATTTACCATTAAAAAAACACCAAACAACTGCCTCAAATTAACTATGAAAACGAGAATAAAGTCGTACAAGCTGCAATACATTTCTTATTGCTTAAAATGAACGAAGACCATCTTGTTTTTTTCTGTGGGTGCTCGATCATTTTCGGATCGGCGCCTATGGCATCACTGATTATAATGGGTTCTATAGTATTTTGTTGTGTTGCGCAGCGAGTGAGAGTTACTTAGCTGCTGCAGAGCATGCCAAAATATCTAGTGTATATTTTGTGGAAATATCTAGTGGAAAATAAGAATTAAATTTTTTAATTTTCAATGTTTTGGCAGAAGGCCATATAGTGAACTGATGAACAGATTATTAAATTGTGCGATATTATATACCTGGAGAATATGCGACTCCAATAATATTAAAACTATACCAGAGCAAGACACAATTACAGTACACCCATATCCAGAAGGATAACTAACTGTATCCTTCATAATTACTCACAAAGCACAAGTTATTGTTTAGCTGAAAACCGGTGAAGAATAAAAAAAGAGAAAAAAAGCCAAGAGTCTTTTCATGAATCTCAAATATCAATTGTTCCCTTTCATTGGTTTCTTTGCAAAGCACTTCCAAACCCCATTTGAATGTCTAATAGAAGACATTATCTGTAATCAAGAGTGGCTAAACACAATAAATGTGACAGGCGAAAAGCTCTGGAGCCTGACAATGTGAAGGTTACTCAAGAACAAGTCTGAGTACAAAGTCTTCAACTGATAATGCTCGCTCACCAGGCTCATTAAACCAATGTTATTGTGCTTGTCTCCATGAAATACATCAAATTACCCGAATCAAAACCAATAGACTGATGCAAACTAGAGGAACATCTAGTTTTAGCAGGTTTCAGGGTGGTACACCTTGTTTTTTGGTGGAGACAGATGTGGGTAAAGTACATCAGTCTAAAGGTAGTTGTCTTCGTGCTTAGTAAAGGGAGGAATTTCTTTAGTGGAAAAGCAAAAATTATGTTGTGATCAGCTACTTTTCAACCTTATTTCCCTCTGACAGGTCCCATAAATAACTGAATAATCAAACTGGAAGAGACAAAAAAGCTTCTTCTGGAACAAAAGTATAGAATCGAGCAGGCAATCAAAACAGAAGCGGAGGAAAGAACAAGCAGCTCTATATATAGCGGAAAAACTGATGAGAATGAAACAGTCTCTCTCTATTTGCCACATAGACACAAAGTGAGCGGGGTAAAAACATCAACAATATGCTCTGACCGCAGTCTTTCTCTCAGAAATTAAAGCAATCATTGGGTCTAATGCAGGCTGGGGAGATAGAGGCCTCGTGCGGGAGGAGAGGAGAGGGCTTCCTGTCTCCAAGAAATGGGCATTGAATTCTGATTTCGGTCCCCTAATAGAAAGTAATGAGAGAGGCTTATGCTCCAGTGACTTTTGCTTTCCTGGCCAGAGCAGGGAGCGCTCTCCACTAAAGGCCAAAGCACTGGTGCACTGATTGGGGCTGACACTGCAGCTGAAGGGGGCTGGGGGTATGGGTTAGTCAGAGACAGTGAGAGATAAAAAGAGAGAGAGGGCACAGGCAGAAAAAAGGAGAGTACGGAGCTAAGTAGGGTGTGCTTCACCAAGGGTACGCACCATCAATCCGGCTGACCAGCTCCTCCAGTGCCTTCACTTTCCTCTGGATCCCAGGCTGGGCGAAGGTGTAGTTGTCCTTGAGGGAGGAGAGAGAAAGATGAGAAACTTAAAACGGTACACATATTTGCCCAATGAAATACATGACCTAAATGCAAAATTGACAAATTGTGTGAATTAAAAACAAACAAACAAACATTCTTCCTAAATTCCTTTACAACAGAATTAAATCTGTGGCTAGGTTTACACTAGTGCATTTTCGTTTTAAAACACATAACTTTTGCTATGATTACGCCTCTCATTTACGCCGGCATTTTCAACATTCGAAAATGGAGACTTTCGAAAACGCTGCAGACCCCGATTTAGTTTGAAAACTCTGGGGTTGTGTTTCAGTGTAAACGGACCAAAACTGAGAATTTTGAAAGTGATGGCGTGGCTGCCCACATTCGCTCTGCGTATCCTTGACGACCGTGTAAACAATAACGTCATGCTCATTGTTGTACCTGCATGAATGGTCATGTGACATGCGTTTTCGGTTGTGTAGTGTGGACACTCAGAGATCGATTCCGAAATGCAGTGAAAACGCCAGCATAGACGAAGATCGTTTTCATTTTAAAAATGCCGGTTTAAAACGAAAACGCACTAGTGTAAACAGGGCCTGAGTCTGATTTTGTGACAATATTTGCTTATCATGTTTCGGTTTATAGTTAGTTCCATTGTTACTGGTTACAAGTTAACAACACTGTTACTTGTCAGGAGTTGTTTAGAGTTATGATAACGGTAATAAGAGTTTGAGCTTACAATAACAGTTATTTAAGTTTACGCTATTTAAGTTTACACCAATGTCATAAATGTGTAATAAGTAACATTGCCATAACTTCAAACTCACAATGAACAACACTGTCATAAACTTGTGACTTTTAATGCGTATCACTGGAATACATCATGTAAAGTAACTGGCGTAAACTAGTAATAATTATTAGATGTTTAGGACAGTTACTCTCTATAAATCTTCATAATGAAGCAGCGTTACTCTGTTTTAAAAATGTTACTTATGAATTCAAAAATTATATTACTGTAACTGCAATATAATTTTTGTCTAATGGGTTAAAGTTATTTGGTGTAAAGTTGTTATTTATACTGCAACAATCAGTAGGTAAGAGTAATGGATAGACACTATCTTGAAACTGGCACAGTGAACACACCCCATACATATGCATATGTATGCACAAATACATGCACCACCGCCCATCCGCACTGGGAAAGAAATTGTGTGCTAGCAGAGCTCAACTGCGTGTTGGGAATAGTGATCCTATAATTAAGTGATAATATTCATCAAGGTCCTGTGGCCCACAGTGCCGCTTAATTACCACATTCATTTCAGCCTACGTTAAAAGACCCTTCTTGACCAGACAGCTACTTAATAGACCCCCACCCACCTCTATCACTCCCCAAGCCTCAGTGGGATTCCTTCTGCGCTCCCGCAGGAGGAAACTTAGCCTAGCTATATTGGCCATAGAAACGGAGCACACGTTCAGCTGTCGAGAGCCAGCGTAAAACAAGCAGTGGGTTAGGGATGATAAATTGGGTGGTTTGCTAAGCTAAGATTGTCAGGCATGGATATAATCAACAGAAGCTGAAGACATTCACAGCAATAAAACGGCTGATGTGAAGGAGGTATGCGTACAAAGAAAATAACAGACGGAGTATGCATGTATGCGCTGTACGCAAGAGGGACATTCAGCCGTAAACAAGTCCAACGATACCTGCTGTGAAATCACCTCCCTAAACCAAACTGTGTGAGAAGATGTAGCATATGACAGAGCAATTTCATAACTTGGAAGGTCATATAAATGTGTGTAGGACAGACCACAGCCAAAAAAATAAACAAAACAAAACAAAAAACAAACACACACACAGCAAGTTTTAGGATAGCCTTGCACTTTTGCGTTCAACCTTCACTGTCTACATTTGTATTCTCTCGAACTCATTTACTGGAATGCATGGCTAGACAGAAGCTGCTCCTAATTTTTAGATGACATTTAACATTAAAATTACTGTCATAATGACCATGAAAATGGATAACTTCATTGGACAAATGGAGAGATGACAGTGTGAGTGACAATAATGGTGACACCTTATCAAGCGGTCTGAGTTATATCATACCTAATGGGGACACCTTCATACGAACTCTTGAAGCCTAAGTACATTTAGTGACAAAAGAGATCTGTAATTGTATAGAGACTACATTAAAATGGCTAGCTAGCCTTTTTCTTTGCATCAAATTGCACTGATATCAGTATTATCTCGAAGGCTTTTTACTCCAATAACTTTTCACTGGATCAACCTCTAAGTGGCTCTTTGAGGGTTCCAAAATTTGTCAAGAGGTAATGATTGTAGGAGAGTTAATTATACACTTTGGACAATCACCTAATTGCTTGCCAAATATCATGGTCCTCTGTGTCTTGGCAACCCCAACAAGTGCAAATACCCTGGCCTGAACAAAGAGAAGGATTTTTGCAATCAGTCTTCAACTTGCAAAGGTGGACAGACAGATATTCTGCCCTATGTGAGTAGGTCTATGGCTCCATCTTTGATGAGACTTCAGAGAGGCAGGATGCTTTAATGTAGCCTGGGAGCAGCTGAGGCGGCAAACACCCGCGAGGGGAGAGAAGTCATTAACCGATAAACAATTTCAGCTGTCCTTCAGGCTCAGATGTGCAGCCTCGGCGCTCCAGAGGTGCCTTAGATGAATACATGAATAGCTGGATCCCGACCATTAAAACCAGCCGCCTCCTCTTCGCCGTGACCTCGAAACAGGACTTTAAAAGGGCAGCACAATGAGGCGGCACTGAAACAGATGGGGTGTCGGTAGCCGAGTCCATGCTTGGCCTACTTTCACAGGTCTACACCTAATCTTCAGCTGGAGCACTGACCCTGGAGGATGCTTGTGGCTCAGTGAACATTAACGCTCTATGCCGGGCTAATCTATCTCTGCAGGAGTCCCTGAGAGTTAGGGCAAAGTGGCCAGGCAGTGGGGAAAGGGGTGAAAGTCATGATTCGAGATGCAGTCACAATCAGGTCTGATCTTAGAACATATTACAAGGGCATCTCGTGGGCAAAATCTTGGCTCCAACCCCTGCATACCTACCAAGTGCTAAGTGCATGTTAAACCTGACTCAGAAACAACACTCCATTGGGATGCTGAACCAAACCCGGCACTATTAGATTAATTTAGTTTCTTGACTAATATACAATACACATAAACTGATGACAATGTTACGTCCAAGAGACATTTCTTTGAAAGGTTCAACAAGTGAAATGGAAAATTACCAGTAAAAATAACTTAAATTTCGATCTGTTCATCATCCAAAGCTGTTCTAAAGCTTTAGAAAACAGTTGCACACTGGACAGGAAGCATCATGCCACATCATGTCAGTAAAGGACAGGTAGTTCACATTAAGAAATACAATTAAGATTGTATTTTCACAAGTTTCTTGATGATTCACCAGACTGGATGCTTTTTATGGTTTTCCTTGTGGAACATGAGGAATTTGATATATCCCTATTACATGTCTGTTGTTTAATATACACAAGGAGTAGTACTCGGTCAAATCAAATGGTGTTTGCAGAGCTGCCCTGCAAGACACTGCAGAAAAAGAAACCCAGCAACGCCACTTTTGGATGTATTTCCGTCCTAGTGTATGTTAACAGGCAAAGCTGACTCCCAACAACACTTCAATTGGATACAGGGCGTAAAGAGATCTCCAGTTTAATTTTGTTGTTTCTTCATTGCTTTAACTCTGTGCAATTCCCCTGGAGACAACATCTGATAAGAAATCCATTGGATAGCAAGAGCTAAACAAGTTAAATGCCTCTTTCTCTCGCTCCTTGTATGTCATGTTCTGGCGACACATGGATGCAATGCAATTACCTCCGAGGCAGAAAGAGTGGGTCAGTCTTAAGCATGTATTAAGCCTGCCCAGAGACCTTCGTAATTACATCTGCATTATTAAAGCACCCGTGCTTTAATGAAGTGCAGGTGCTCTTACACACTGGACCCTGGGAGCTGTAAACAATCCGGTTTCCACAGCAATATCAATAACCAGCTTTGAACCGAGCTGAAGAGATTCTATAATCTTGAAAAGAAGAACTAGGAAGGGTTTGACTTGCACCTCTATAACATGCTGTGACAGGAAGAGCTCTGATGATACAAGCAGGTGCCAAATTTCCCGCTCGATGCGCCTTAGAAAGCATCCTCTTTTTCAGGGATTTGTTTAAAGCTTTGGCTGGGGAACAAGTTGAAGCTTTGTGGCGTCCTTTTTTACTCAATCCATCTTTGATCTGGTAAAGTGACTGGAGCTTCCCAGCTGAAGCTTTTTTGGACTATGTTATACTCTCCAAAACGTCCATCACTCACCTTCAGTAGATTACTAATCTCCCTTTGACACTACCCACAAAGGGACTGATTTCTCCGCTGAGTGAAAAAGAATAAAGGCAAAAAAGGTGATCCGAGATCAACAGAAGAAGATGGTGACTTTTTTTCTAAATATGTGAGAATAAATAGCTGTAAATCTGAGTAGATTAATACCAGCCCTTTGATAAGAACTTGTGGAAAGATCTGCTTGATGCAAACAACAAGCCTGCTGAAAGGATTTGGAGCTGTGATGACGACCCATGATAACCAGAGCACATAATAAGAGCTCAGCTTTGTGTTATTCATGGAGAGAAAAGGGCTTTTACACTCTCTCTGTGGCTGCTGATGCCTTTCCATTTGTCTAAGCAGCCCTCTTTTCCGCTCTCAATCGCTTCTGCTCTTCCAGGCGAAGCTGGGTCAGAAATAACTCACCAATGCAGAATATGAACATCCAGGATCATGAGCTTATATTCTGAACCTTTCAATGACTGCATTCACTGCTTCCCTAGTTCACTCTATGAAATCGACCATAGTCTTCTTTTCTATGTCAGTCACAGGGGCTTAGAAGAATAGTTCACTCAAAAAATAAGAAAAATCTGCAATTGTTTACTTCAACCTTGTGTTGCCGCAAACTCATGTTTCTCCTTCCCCTGTGGAATACA